GATCTATACTACCTGTACTCTGAAAGTACCCATGTTGGAAACACCACAGGGTTCTTAGCATCATTGGTTGGATTCTTATCCTAAATACCTCATACACCTTGAAAAACATTCCATCTTCATACTTAGCATGAAAATAATAATTTTCTCTTTTAAATTACTTTTTCTTGGGGATTATTTAATATAATGCATCTGTTGTAGTACATTCCATTGAAACCAGCTAAGGACATCCAATATTTGCTGGCAGTATGGTAAATCTTGGATAATGTACCTGTACGTATCTCATTACAGATCTCCTTTGACAAGACTTGGGGTTTTTTTTTACAAAATCAGCAATAAAAATATGGAGTGGTTGAGAGTAACAACAAAATGCATCTGAATGGGTGCTACTTGTACTTTTTCAAATAATCAATGCACTTCACTTTTTCTGTTTTTCTGAGCTCTCCAAAGGACAGAATGTTCTGGTTCTCATACCTGATATTACCATTGTTGCCTCTCATCATAAACGTTTGATTGAATTATAGATCTCCACCATATGCTGAGAGGAAAATGTAATGTGTTCCTTAAAAGCCACCATGATGACTCTCCTAATTCAAGGTCTTCCCTTAAGTACCTAAGAAAACAACCACCACCATGATGACGCTCCTAATTCAAGGCCTTCCCTTAAGTACCTAAGAAAACAACCTCGTCCTAGATTCCCTGGCTCACTGAACTACAAAAAGTCAACTTAGTGTCTGAGACAACTGCATTTAAAATCATCATCATTCCATTTACACCCTGTAATAAACTTTTGCCTTCCAAATCCCCAAGGTTTTCAAACAAAATGGGGATTGTTTGGCCTCTAGAGGTAAAATGAGTTTGGTGCAGAGGCAACTCTCATCAGGTTTTACTCCAGCAGGGCAAAAGAAGTACAACACAAGAACGTGTGTTGGCCCTGGATGCCAAATCCACCCAGGAGTTGAGGATTCTCAAATTTTAAAGTACCTCTGCTTAGAAGAGTAGATCAGCTTCAGGGCTACGCTGAACAACCCAAGGAGACAGATGAACAGTATTTTCAAAAAACTTAATCATGAAACCAGGAGGGAGCAAGAGAGAGGGAAGAATACAGTAAGCTTCAGTAAGCAAGAACATTTCCCATTTAAAGGTGAGTGCCAAAAAAAGTGGTAACAGGGGATTTTAATATGCAAAAAAACTGAAACCTCCATGGAATTTCCTCCAAGCACTTTCTAACAGGTGTTTGCTCAGAAAGCTGGTTGTAATTGAAATTAGTTGAAAAGAACTCTGAACAATCTTGCAGCACCTCTCAAGGATGACACTGTTCACTGTCTTGCATGGGAAGCACTCTAAAGTGAAACAGCATTTCTGTTCTTCCACAGAATGAAACATTTATTTATGGAAAATAGAAACTTTGCAACAAAGGGGAAATAAATTATTTACCTCTGCACCAATGTAAGAAAATGGAAGACAAATATGAAAAATACATGTACCTTCCAAGGAAGGAAGAAATACACTTAGGTGTGAAATGTGTCAAAACAGGTGAAGAAAAAATTATGTTAACTGAAAATGCAAAAGTTGTAATACTTGAACAAATAAAAATTTCTAAAGAAAATGGCAAGGAATGAAATTAGTCTTACATTAGGACACACACTCTTGTCTTTTGTTACTGAAAGGAAATACAATAATTGCAAAATAATTTACAGAAAATTAACTTGATTAAATGGAACATTAAAAAATAGCTTAGAATGCAAACATTTTTGTGTGCCACTCTACTTCAGCCAGAAGTATTTACACTTATGCATGTGAAGTTACAAATATCTGGAGGAGGGCAGCTGAGTGAAAGGCCAACACATTACTTGTTTATGCGATTCTGTGTCAAGATCTTGTCAGCAGTTTTCAGGCTACATTAATCACTATTATCGGTGCTCTGAGTTACTCCCAAGAAAATGTGTTTGGTTGGGTAACTCTGCCTCATATTTTATAGGCAATGCTTCAGAAATGCTTTTTGGTTTAAGAAAAAAAAGAAAGCATGGAAAAATTCTTATTGATGCAATATTTCACATCTTGGCCTCCGAATCATTAGTCACTTTCTACAGACGTCTCTAAGGGAGGAAAAATAAGACAGCATTTTAGAAAACGCTATAAATTACATGTAGAAATATTTTTGCAAGTCTTCATTCTAGATTGTTATGGGCTTATGTTGCAGTCTCTCCTGAAGCTCGAAATAAGTGGTTTACCTTACTGAAAAGCAAATTCCCAGCACCTCCATTCGATGGAACATTTATGACTCCAAACAGCTCTTAAAATATTGTAGATTAAATATGGCCCTCTTGTATGAGCTAGCTCTGACTTTCTTAGCACTACCTGAGAACTGACCACAGACACGGGCATGGCAACAGTGGGACAGAAGAGTTCTAAAAGGGGATTCAGCCCCATCTAAAGGAAGGTGTGTCCAAGCCTTACAGCCAAACTGTAGCACACTCTACCCTTTCACTCCAAGTTGAGTAGAATACACTTGTAGCAAAGGATTCAGGGGCACTTCGAGCTCCAAAATGTCTCCCTACAGCTCTGCTGACAAGTATAAACCAGAGGATTTATTTCACTTAGGTTCTCAGTTCTCCATACCACAGCAAGTGCTGCTTCTATTGAGAGACCAAGCAAAATATTATTGAAAGTCTCCTGATCTTCTGTGAGGATGCTTTTCCATGGTGTCCAGACAAACAGAAGATACTGGATTTTTTCAGGTTTTGCCAGTCACTGTGTGAAAACAGACTGTCCGGAGCCAAAGATCAGCACTATTTTTTATACCCTACACAGAGAGAAGTTGGGTAACATAAACAAACATCTCTTGTTATTTCTGATTATTTTAAAAGAGGGTCATGTTCAGTAATTAAGTAAAAAAGGGAAAGAAGAACCTACAGAAGGGCAAAGGACAGATCACAAGAGGGAAAATGCATTCAGTTGGAGAGAAAGGATATGCAGAAGCTGGAGGATATGGACACAGAGGGAGATGATAAGGGCACAGTGATGTTAGGTGAAATATGTGGAATGAGGAACTGTACAAGACCACATTGAAAGACGAGGAAACACTGATGAAAATTAAGGGAAGAAATAGGGTCTAACACGCTGAATGGAAAGTAGAAAAATGGCTTATATGCACACATTGCCCAGGAGGTACAAAAAGGGCCTATATGCAGTGGAAGAATAGAAGCTTGAAAGAATGAGAGGGGGGAAAAGAACAAGTCAGCAGGTACTCAAGTTGCTTACAGGAATTTTTAAGCTTTTTAAAGGAATCTTCCTTCAGGAAAGCCTGAGAAAGGAAATGTTGTTTCACTATACCTAACTACAACTGAATGTCTGTGTTCAGATGTTCCCAAATGTACAGAAGTGCAGCAAAATCAAAAGCAATTAAAATATCCTCATTGTTGTCAGGCAAGTATTTTTCTTGATTTCTTATTCATATTTACTCCTACAACAAACTATACTAATTAAGGCTCTGGAGAGTGGCTCTACAGTCTGGGGAAAGAACTCTTACATCAATTTTTGGCTTCAGGCTGAAGGGATGAATGAAAATTGCAACCATAAGTGCTTTCCTATAGAGCTTCTTCAAGAGTTATGCTCTATCCCACCTCTTCTCCAGCTCCATAATCTCACAGACAGAAAGAGTAATGGAATATCAAGAGGATCCGGATGGCTTCAAGCTCTGAATTCCCCAAAGCCTTGTCAGGGTTACCAGGAAAGAGAACATTTGCAGCCTGGTAACAGCTCTACTGAAAAGAGGTAGCTAGTGTCTCAAAAAAGCAGTGGACTAACTCAACCTGACCTAAGTAAAGTCAAATGATACCGTTGCTGAAACACGGGCACCTGCTTTATGGCT